TGAAATCCTGTCAGACCTGGTCCAGATCTTGGAACCCTAATAAAAGGGAGGATAAAACTCTGGAGGGGGATAAAGATTCCAGGAAGGAACCTAGGAGATATATTCTGTCATTGTAGCAACTACCCTTCCATATACATGAAGGCAGATTGTGATTGAGTGTTAGGTTGAGTGGAACAAATTGCCCAGCAAAGTCATAAGCTCCTCTCTTTTGGATGTGTTCATATGGGGCTAGATAGCAATCTGTATGGGATGCTCTGTTAGATTCCTGCAATGAGCAGAGGATTGGACTTAATGACCCAAATGAAATAAATGGTTTGCTTAAATGTGTGCTTTAATTTACTTTGTATTCTTCTCTATCCTGGAAAATTTTCTTCTAATCTAGCCAGAACAGAAGAGAGTGCAAATTAAATTAAGCCTTTTCTCCATTGGATATGGAGAGAATTACAGGAGAGCCAACAGTATATATATAACACATAGTATTAAAGAGAGAACTTCAGAAGAAATGATCTGTCTGAATGAGTGCAGGTTGATGGTAGGAATGGCTGTTCTAAGAAAATAATAGCTTAAAAGATTTGTATATATAAACTTGTTCCTTTGCTGTGGATGTGAATTTTATTTAAAATGTTCTTATTTTTTGCAACATAAAATGATTAAAATATTATAAATTGAATAACAAGGTAATGCTATGGAACCCAACAGAAAAGATCGTGACCAAGCAGCAGGCAGTGAGTTACACTGAGTGCTGACATGACTTTTCACATCTCTTCTAGCTCTTGATTCAGTTCTAAGTACTTCAGCTACCCTACTACTTTTCTTAAGAAAGTAGAAAAAAGATATTTTTCTGCTATACCCTGTCCATGGTGCTGCTTCTTACTGCTTCTATACAACATATGAATGGCTTTAACCAGCTTTTTCTTTAGCTATTGGAGAAGCATCTATTTAGTGAAGGTATTTTGGAATTTTGTTTTAGAACTAGTGAAAATGACAGTTAATATGCAGTAAATAACAGAAACACATTTCATGTCCAGGATGTAGAATTTCGTGTATTTTAGTAATTATGCTGATTGGGATTGAAGTTCAATTATACTAAAACAATTATAGGTGCCTTAGTCTCTAATCAAGTCAATATATAGATTATGTGTGGGTTTATTTTATCTTATTCCATGTTTCTTTAGAAATCTTAATGTTTTTTTGTGCCTAATACGCAACTTCACTAACAGTTAAGGTTAGTGAACTGTTAGAGAACATGGTTCTTATTAGGCATTGTTATGCAATTAATTATTAGTTTAAGTCAGAATCTGGTCAGAGTCTGACTATGTCAAAGACTATAATTAAATGGATGTAGAATTTGAATATAGTAGAGATGCAACAATGGGAATTTCAGTGAAAGAATATTCAATCTACTCCCAATATAATGCTTTGAGAAAATTAGTATAAGATGTTCTTTTGTTAGTATTTTAGTCTAGTTTTGATTGCTAACATGGGCAATTCATTTTCTAAAATATTTCAGAACTGTAATAATCAGGTTGTAATTATTTTTACATTTGGTAGCAGTGCTACATATCCTAACAGATTTGGAAAATGGTTTATATTAGAATGGAACAAAATTTGAAAATTGAATTCCCATTGCAATCTTAAATATATTAAATGTTAGATTAAATCAGGTAAATTTACTTAGTTTCTGATTTTCTGAACAAGATTTTAGGTATCAATTTATGCTTGGTTAAAATGAGTTTCAAGCTGAATAGGGATTTTTAGTTCTTTCTTCAAAAATGATTCAATGTAGTTGTATAAGTAATTAATGATACATTGAACAAAAATAATTTTTATGATACTTTATTTCTTTACCTACCCTTGTAGTCTTTTGCTTTCTTTCTTTAAAATGTTTAATAAGTTTTATTTTAAAGAATCATCTTAATGGTTTCAGACTGCTATTATGGTTGACTACTTTAGATATCACCTGTCATTACATAAAATTGTATCCTTACATATGTAGATATTATAGGCTGGTTTATTTAATTGTTTGATGTACTAGATCATATGCTAGTATAAAGAACTCTGAGAAACATAGTTTGTATATTCTAAAAGATAAATGTTTAAGATGATTTAATTCCTAGTAATTCCATGTAATTTTCTTGACAGCAACATAGAAATAATTTTATGCTGCTTTCTTCTGGGCTGTTTTATTTTCTCCCCAATCATTGACGGTTTCTCAGCAGATTGCTAACAGGCCCAATTCTTTGGGATTTTGAATCCAGATAAGATGAGTGAGGTGTTGCTGCCCTTTTAATGTATTACATTTCTAGCCTGCCTTTCTACCACAATTCAAGTGATTTAAAAATACTAAAAATATATTAATAACCAAATCAAAAACAATGTGGCAATCAGATTATATCTATCTATCTATCTATCTATCTATCTATCTATCTATCTATCTATCTATCTATCTCTCTATCTCGGGGTGAAATCCAACAGGTTCTGGAGAACCGGTAGCGGAAATTTTGAGCAGTTCGGAGAACCAGCAAATACACCTCTGGCTGGCTCCAAAGTGGGGTGGGAATGCAGTTTTTGCAATATCCTTCCCCCAGGAGTGGGGCGGGAATGGGGATTTTGCAGTATCCTTCCCCTGGAGTGGGGTGAGAATGGAGATTTTACAGTATCCTTCCCCTGCCACGCCCACCAAGCCACACCACGCCCACCAAGCCATGCCCACAGAACCGGTAGCAAAAAATTTTGGATTTCACCACTGATCTATATCTATCTATCATCTCTACTTTACTAGATGGGAGATGAGTGGTAGAGTCTGTATTTTGAATGCAGAATGTTTAAGATATAATCTTCATTATTTCATGGATTGATTAGCAGCTTATACGAAAAATTTCGATCCGATATTGTAGTGAACCTCTGCCAGACCTAATAGACAATACTAAACCTTATGAATAGATTTGATTTGAAGTTATTTCCTATTTATCTACCACCATATATATGGTTAATAAAAAGGAAGGAGAACCAGCATATATCATAAACGTTTTTCATGAATTGCAAAACAAGTTGTGAAAAATTGAACTGTCCAATAGAAACACTTCAATTCAATTCTAATTTGTTAGTTTCCTTGGTACACTATTCTTCTTTTTTGCTCTTTCCTCTGTGTTCTTATATCATTGTCTGAAAAATAGAATGCATAATAATTTAAAAGAAATTACTATTTAAATGCTTATGCATTGGCTGTAAAAATAGGGTAAACAAATAGAAAAATATTTTGCAACTTGAATTTTATATTGCAGTTTTGAAACAGAGAATGCACTCCTTTCTCATTTGAGAAAAAATAATACTCAACAAGCCCAGAGTCAGCTCATGTATATAGATTGGTCTTTGTCTCACATACTATCCATTTTGAGAATCTGGAAGGATGTTGTCATAGGTTTGCCATTATTTATATCGCTTCATATTAATGGGAATGAAACTACACTATAGAATATAAATATTCTAAAGTTTCATTGCAATATTGCAATCAAAACTTAATTCTTGGTTCATTTTAAATTATTGATGTTTTCTAAAATTATGATAGCATAGTATGTTCAAGTGATAGAAATCAGAAAACAAGGAGTATGAAAAGTGCTACTACATAATATTTTACTGATGTGAATCATTTGGAGTTTCTTTTAAACTAAGAAAATTAACAGACTTGACCAATTAGTTCAATTTAAGTTCATTCATTCATTGGGATAACATGAACTTTTTGCAAATTTGCCTGAAAATATTAATATATACATAATATAAATCTATAATAGTTTTAAACAATTTTAAGATAATAGATATCATGTTTGCTTGTAATAAGGAAAATTTCTGCTTGTTAACTTACCTTATGTAAGAACTTGCCTGTTCTTACATTAAAAAAAACCATCTTCACTTAAAAATGTACATCCTAATAAGTAAATGACATTGTTACCTATACATAGATAAACTCAAACTATTTGTAAGATGATTTGTTGAATGCCACTAAAGCTGATACTCCTAATGTGAGAAACTTGGATGAAGATATAATGTAAATATCACTAATATTTCAGGTTCTGATAGAACTTTTCTGTTGCTAATGTAAAAGGGGATTTAATTTAAACATACCCTGGAGTTGTATATTTTAGTTTCAAATACTTGATAGTATAAGAAACATCTGGGAGAGCCTTCCAGATATATTTATATGTTGGGTGTAGCCCGAATGTAAAATTATAGACCAAACAATTTGGGTTCATCTAAGTAAACCAAACATTTTTGTTTCTGTAAAACAAAATGGTAAAATGGTATCTCTAAAATACAGAATTTTTGAAAATGGGATTGATTAGATTGTAGGGAAGAGGGACAATCAACACATAAAGCAGATTAGTGTGAAATGATTTTTATTCATTCATTCATTCATTCATTCATTCATTCATACAGATCACCATTAATTCTTGTTGCATTCCAAGTTGCAGTCTTCCAAATGTCATGGCCAGGGGCTCCTGGATATTGATCTCTACCATCTATCATTGTTTAGTCAATTGAAGTTTCCCATAATACAGGGATGCGCAACTACTTTTCCCAATGGGCCACATGTGAATGCGACTGTTGTGGAGGGCCAAAACAATAGGGTCACTGCAACATTGCCTTTAGGCTTTCTGTCTCAAACCTGGAAAGAGTTCTACTCTTTTTCTAGCTTACTGTGATCATCAAGATACAGAATACAACCACATTGCCAATATATAAGCAGTAGAAAGGCATGTTGATAATATGTAGTTTGAGTTGGTTTAACAATGATATTTGGTTTACCTGCTGCTGTTTCCAGCAGTTAATTGAAAACTTATAAGAGATACATCCAAAATTAAGTAAGGAGATTGGGTAATTATATAATGAAGTACTTCTGTCAGAAAATAATGAAGCTATATAATTGCAGTGAATAAAAGTAATGATTACATCCCAGTATATACTTAAATACTAATTCATTTATCTTTATTTTTCTTTTACAGATCTTTGAATATCTTCATTTTTTTTCTGTGCTGATCTTATTACTCCCTTAAGTTATTACATACTTTTTGCTGCTCTGTGAGAAGAGATGTCTCGCAGCCCAGATGCAAAGGAAGACCCTGTCGAATGCCCCCTTTGCATGGAGCCTCTGGAGATTGATGACATAAACTTCTTCCCTTGCACCTGTGGTTACCAGATCTGTCGCTTCTGTTGGCATCGTATTCGCACAGATGAGAATGGACTTTGTCCTGCTTGTAGAAAGGTATCTGTCTCAAGTTCATCACAAATATTTTGTTTGATAAAACAATTTCAGAATGAAATGTTGCTTCTTCCTAAAAAAACGGCGATGGATAAAGGGTAAACAAATGAAAAATATACAATTGCTTTATATAAACGTAAAGTTATCTCATAATGTAATTTGTGGCTAATGCAATATTTCCATTGATGTATGGATAGTCTTTGACTTATTATTGTTCATTTAACAATGATCTAGAAGTGCAATGGTCTTGGAAAGAGTGATATAAGGCCTGCAAAACAGTTCTGGCCATCATCATCCCTATAGTCATCACCAAACACTGCAGCAGCTTGCCAAAGATCATATGATTACCATTTACAAACTTCTCTGCTGTCTTTCCCCGAAAGTCAAGAGCAACGGCCCCCAACCTTTTGGACACCAGGGACCGGTTCCATGGAGACAGGTTTTTCTGCAGATCGGATGGTTGTGTGAATTTGCATTCTGCCTACATCCCACAGATGGGGCTTTGCTTGTTTCATGGCCCAGTTTCTGGCATACTGTAGCCTGGTGTCATTCCACGGAGCAGGGGTTAGGGACCCTTGGTCAAGAGGAAATCCAGCAGGGAACTTTGCAAGGTGCTGTCACTTGTTGAGAAAACACCTCTCCTTTCTGAGGTCTGCCTAAAAGAGCTCTCTCTCTCTCCTCTCTCTCTCTCTCCTCTCTCTCTCTCTCCTCTCTCTCTCTCTCTCTCTCTCCTCTCCTCCCTCCCTCCCTCCCTCCTCCCTCCCTCCCTCCCTCCCTCCCTCCCTCTCTCTCTCTCTCTCTCTCTTTCTCTCTCTCTCTCTCTCTCTGCCTTCCATCCTTCCGAGCTCGGTAAAATGAGGACCTAGATTGTTGGGGGCAATATGCTGACTCTGTAAACCGCTTAGAGAGGGCTGTAAAGCACTGTGAAGCAGTATATAAGTCTAAGTGCTAAGTGCTATTGCTAATATCCATATATTATTCTATCTACTGTTTAAGGAAAGGATGATGATTAGTTCCACTGCTGTCACAGTATGAATTAAATTGTCTAACCCATTGGAAATTTGTAGTTTCAAGAGTACTGGGACTCTTTTCAATAATAAAATGTTGTTATTTAAACTATTGTAGTTCATTCTTACCTTGTTTAACAGTAATAATTTTCTCAAGAAAAAACAAATTTTCAGATGTAACATAGATGTTCATGAAATATTTGGTGTGGTTGTTTTGTTTATTAATAGATTTCTTGTTAGAATGCCAGTGTTTAGTCTCTTGCAAGCAAAAAGTACAAAAACAATTTTATTCTCCATAGTGGTGGAGATAGCATCCAGGAATGGGTTAACTCCGTCTGTCAGCTAATTGGACTGAGTCTTAAAAGTTGTGATGACAAGCTTCCTCTGCCTATGTCCCCAGCTTTTAGACTCAATCTATCTTGGACAAGACGTGTTTTTTCTAGCTAATCCGTTCCTGAATGCTTTCAACACAAATTCTACAATCCAGAGAAATTTACATTGTGGCTGCGGCTCCCAGTTTCGGCTGGTCGAGCTGCTCAGCTTATCCCAGCGTGAAGGGCTTTCAGCCCGACCCCACTGAAGGCCGCGTGGGCAGCAATCAGACTGCCAGCTGGCAGATCTGACAGGGCAGCGCTCACGAGCCTCACTCCGAACCGCTGACCCTGGGGCTTGATTCAACACCCCCCTTTTCTCCAGATTGGTTGGAAACATCAGCCAGGAATGGGTTAACTCCATCTATCAATAGATTGACTGAGTCTGCAATTTGCTTAGCCACACCCTCCTGTAGCTCCCCAGTTTCAGGCTCAGTTGATCTTTGGACTAGGTGTGTTTTTCTGAAGTTAATCCTTTAGGCTTATCTTTTACATAGATTGAAGACAGAAAGGAAAGTTTGTTTATTCCAGCATCTAAGGCTTTGCCTCGAATCGCTGAGGGCTGCGGAGACGGCACAGGACTGCCGGCTGCCAGATCCTTTGGGCAGTGCTCACGATCCTAGCTCTGAAACGCTGACCCATGGATTGGAGGCTTTCACCCCTCCTTTTGTTTATCAGGCTGTGGGATCGCAGCAGAGGCAAGGGCGGCTCTGCAGCGTAAGCCGTTTTTTAGCGTGAAGAGCTATTCCGCGCTTTTTTCATTCATTTGGGAAGCCAGAGAGCCAGTGGGGAGTGGCAAACGGCTCCGCTTTTGCCGCTTCTCTTCCAGACCTGAGGGCAGCGTTGGGAATCGGATATGCTGCCTTCGGGAAATATCTCTGGTGATCTTTGCAGGGCAGTGAGTACTTTACAATGTAGTTACCGTCCAGGAAACAATTTGGGCCTCTAGGCCAGATTAGCCTGATTAAATTTTAAATGCTGGCTGCCAGGAAAGGGCACCACACCCACATGGCGGGAAGCCCTGTGACATACGTGCACCAGAGGAGAGAGGGAATGGTCTTCAGAAGCTTTGCATTCTAAAAGGAAGTCTCATCATTCTTCCAAGAAGCCTTCCAAGCAGCTTTCCAAGAATGAGGAAAGGAGGCATAAGGCAATGGAAAGAGCTATTCAGAAAGCTCAACAGGAGGCAGAGAAAAAAACTAAAATGCCTCAGATTCCGGAACAGTCCTCCTCTATTCAGGCTACATCTGCTCTCCTCCAGCAGGATGATCCCCTTGAAGGAACATCAGCAGCAACTTGGACTCCTGATGGAGCAATGGCTGTTCCCCTGGAGCGGCCTGACCACAGAGATCTGCTGTTTGGCATGGCAGAGGAACAAGTGGTTACTTATGAACAACCTGTTAGGCAGGGGAGCTCCTCGGTTGAGGCCACCTTTATGCCCACAACTGCGGGCTTGAGACAAGAGATGTCTCTGGAGAATCAGATTCTGACCTCGTTGAGGGCTTTACTTTCCAATGACATTAAACAAAGCATCACTGAGGGTCTCCAACAAAGAGCAGGATCAAGGGTTCCTGCCTCTCCCAGGGCACAGGAGGAAGAATTACATCTAGCTTCTTCACAGCCTTCTTCCAGTCAAGCATCTCTCTCGAGATGAGATTCAACGTGATTTTGATATATCTGATGAAGGCCTTTTGCCTGACCAGCCAGCTTTTCTGGGTCTTTTCTGTCCCCAGATGTTTAAATCCTTGCTTCATAAGGCCAAGATTTCTTCTGGATTGGGGCTCAGTCAAGCCCTTCTAAGGGAGAGGGGGGGTGTCTTCGGATCCCATGGGCTCTTTATTCGTGGAGCCCACTTTTGAGATGGGGGGGGGGTTCCAGCTCCCAAAATGTTTCTGGATATTGTGCAGAGGCAGTGGGCCTCTCCTCGATCAGGGCCTGCTCCAAGTGGTTTGGATAGGTGATTTTAGGGCCTGCTAAGGGCCTGCTTGATCAGGGCCTGCTCCAAGTGGTTTGGATAGGCGATTTTACAATATGGGGGTGAACCTTTCTACGGCTCTTCAAGTTCCCTCTATTGATAGTCCGGTAGTGTCACTGGCTTCTCAGTCTGTCCTTACAGGTCCTCCTGAGGAACTTTTTCGACCTGAGGATAAGAAAGCAGAACAGTCGCTGGTCAAAGGCCATCTGGCTTCTGCATGGACAGTGAAAGCTTCGTCAGCGGCCTCATTTTTTACTAGAGCTTCTTTATTGTGGTTGAAACAGCTGCAGCACTGATTGCCAGCTGAGGACACTAGGTCACAACAGGATCTTAACAAGATAATTTCAGCTATTGAATTTTCTGCTGATGCCACGTGAATGCCTCCAGATTTGCGGCGAAGGCCATCGGTTCTTCCATTACAACCAGGCATCTCATCTGGCTGAGACAATGGCAAGCTGATGCCAGAAACAAATGGAGATTGGCATCTGCCCCATATAACGGGGACAAATTGTTTGGCGATGCCCTGGAGCCTCTTCTAGTTGAAACTAGGAATAAACGCAAGGTTTTGCCCAGCTTGGCCCATAGATCAGATTCCCGACCGGTTCCTTATTTCCTTCTTCAGCCCTTTCGAGGGACGGACAGCAGTTTTGGAGGGCTGCAGTCACAAGGTTTGTATTCCTCCAGACAGGGTCCTTATGTTCTGCCCCAGCTACGGACCCCAAAGAACGCAGCACACACAAAGTATGTACAAACCTTAGTTTACTAAATTAAATCAGTCTTTTTCAAATAAAGGCTGTTAATTAACTTTCTTAACAGCCTACAAGAATCCAAAGAATAAATAATCGTAATCTTACTATGGTTGGCAGAAAGCCCAGAAGCAATTTGCAGGAAACTGATAAGAGAACTAAGATCAGGACGCGAAGGAGAGTGAACGAAGTTGTTCCCTGCAAATTGCCTCAGTCATCATCCTTCCTTAAATAGGGTAAGGGAGTGGCCAATTAGCCCCAAGCCTTACTCTTGAGGAGACCTCCTCCTGAGGAACCACTCCTGCCTTTTGGCAGCTCTGCGCGCCCGTGCATCGAGAAGAGGCTCCTCCTCTTCTTCCTCTTCACTTATGGGAGCTTCAGGAGGTTCTGAAGGCCCTAGCTGAATCCCCGCCTCTGGCACCACATCTTCTCCAGCCTCCTCATTGTCTGACTCGAGTGCCAGCTGCACAGGCTGCTGGCGCAGCACCACACCAGCCTCCTCGCTGTCGGAATCAGCTACTAGCTGTACAGGGCGCTGACGGGCTACAACACATTATCAGGACAGATAGAACTGACAAAGCCTCAGATATCCCCCCAGAAGGTCCTTTAGGGGCGGAAGGGGTAGACCCTAAGTCTGGCTCTATAAGCAGTGGTCCTTTAAATTCTCTCATAGGTGTGTTCTGCCCCAAAGAACGCAGCACACACAAAGCCCGTTCAAACGGGCTTTGTTTACTGAATAAACCAGTCTTTTATAACAATGGCTGTTAATTAATTGCATTAACAGCTGCCAAGAATTCAAAGAAGAATAACTGAAAACTTACTATGGTTGGCAGAATGCTCAGAAGCAATTTGCAGAAAGCTGATAAGATAACCAAAATAAGACAAAAAGGTATGTGAACTAAGT